GGCTGGGCGTCTGTGTCTGTGTGTATGTCTGTGTGCGTGCGTGTCTGTGTGCGCGTGTGTCTGTGTGTGTCTGTGTGCGTGTGTGTGTGTCTGTGCGTGTGTCTGTGTGTGTGTGTCTGTCTGTGTGCGCGTGCCTGTGCCTGTGCCTGTGTGTGTGTGTGTGTGTCAGGATCTGGGAGTGACTAAAGTCGGCCATATGAAGCGGATCCTGCAGGGAATCAGGGATTTGAGTCGAAACAGCACAGCCAGCGAAGCCTAGACGCTCCGCAGCCAATCAGATGCCTTGTTCGGACGTGACGCAGCTTCACCCGGCCAATCAAACGCTCAGTCACAACTGGAAGCAGCCATACTCCGCCACTCGACTCGACCAATCACAGTGCCTTCTGTTCTCCACCTGTGTGACATCATCACTTTGGGGGAAGCTATTTTACTAGCTAGAAGGGGGAGATTTATCAAGAGCCATCAGAGGGTCATACCAATATCACAGACTTTGAAGAGCAAATCACCATTCAGCCAACATGAAATCCACGCTCAGCCTTTTTTCTTGGAAGTACTTTCACTTTCTTAAAGTAACAAATGCTTGTCTTCTAAATCTGCCATCAAAACTGAATAACTTCCTCCACGTCTCAAACAGCTTTTCGTTTCCGCTGAGGTCACCAAGGCCTAAAAATTATATTAACCAATAATCTCAAGCCCCACGTTTCACGATCCAATCAAATGTCCCGCCCTCCATTATTATTTTTGTTAAATATTCAATTTCATTTTAAAATGAAAGGTGTGGTGAATGCTGTTTCATGTTGTCTTGAAGCTCTGTGACTCTGTTCAAAACCTAGTGAGCTGCCTTTGTCTACTGCCTGCCTTCTGAGCCACCAGAGACTCTCGAAAGATTTCCAGTCAGACTGATCCTCAGATGAGCACAAAATACAAGAGTGGTAAAACACCTTTACATTTATGCATTTGGCTGATGCTTTTATCCAAAGTGACTTGCATTGCATTGCATTAAAATAAAATAAAAATAATTCATATAAATATAATTATAAAATTGATTAAAGATGAGTTGTAATGTGCAAAGAATAATAGCCAGTGTCTCACACCTAAATATTTACATTTATCCAAAGAAACTTACATTGCATTGAATGTATAAAATAAATTAAATTAACATAAAACAATAATTTTTAATTGTTTGATCAAAATTGAAAAAAAAAAATGATTGAAGATGAGTTGTAATGTGCAAAACATAATGTCTCCCACCGAAATATTTACATTTATGCATTTGGCAGACACTTTTATCCAAAGTGAGTAACATTGCATTCAAGCAGTAGAATAGAATAAAACATAAAATATTGTAATTATTTGAAAGCAATAAATTAATAAAATAATAAATACAATTATAAAGTTGATTAAAGATTAGTTGTAATAAGCAAAACATAATGTCTCCCACCCAACTATTTACATTTATGCATTCAGCAGACACTTTTTACTTGTATTGAACTATTTTCATTGATTCATTCCAGCATTGAATGAATAATATTCATAATTTCTCTTCTTTTGTCCATTTTATCATACATGCGATGCTACCGTAGGATTTGGCTTAAAGAAGGTATGTTAAAAGCGTGTGATGCCTTAAAATGCTGTCTAAGTAGGGAGCTCACTAGGTTTGGGAAGGTGACAGCGTCATGAGAACTTTAACATGTTGTGACAATCAGCTGTATTGACTTATCAGACTCGACCAATCAAACGCTCCGCTTTGCCCCGTCCCGCCCATCCTCTTCCTGGATGCCTTATAGTTCCACCAGCATTCTGATGAATCACATATCAGCCTGAAACACACGTCCATTCCTGTAGTATACAGCGGATCCTGGACTGATCTGGACCTGAGTGAAAGCATGAGTGGAGGTTCAGCCCCAGTATGCACTGCTTTCAGACTAAATGTGTGGTTTGGAGAAGTAAATGTTGATGATAAACACTTGACGGAAACCAAACGCCAAAGTTAAGCTCTATATACCGTATCTTACTGTGGAAGTCAATATACGTTAATTGAGAGAATAACTTTTTAACATGAAACATTCCTTTACAACAGGTATTTTACAGATAGATCTCAGATATTGGCTTTAAAAGAGCATCGACGTCAGAGTATGGATTCACAGATTCACAGTCTTAACCAGGTGTGATGTGACAAGCATCTCTTTTATGTAAATCAGAGTCCGAATTAGTCCCGCCCACAGCGAAATCTCATTGGTTGAAAACTCCAGTCATCATGAATTTATATCAGTGGTTTTTAACAGGCCTTAAAATGACATTAAAATAAGCCAAAACTACTAAAAACCAATACATTTTATATTTTATTTCACCTCCTAAACAACTATTTGAGGAACAAGAGTTCCCACAATCTTGAAAAACCTGGAAAAGTAATAAAACCGTATAACTCTATGGGCATTTATATAATGAATATACATGTAGTTATACCAAGCTCTAAAACTAACTAGGTTTTGCATTTATGCATTTGGCCGATGCTTTTATCCGAAGTGACTTGCATTGAATTCAAGGATAAAATAAAATATAAAACAAATAAATAAATATAAAAAATAAAAAGGTAAAATTCTTATTTATTAATAAATCATAAATCATAAAATACCAAGCTCTAAAATACTTTATCAGGTTGGAATTGTAATTCTTAAGAAAAAAATAATAATAATAATAATAATTGTGCAGTAAATCACGAAAATCTGTAAAAGTCATGCACAGTGGTGGCAAAAAGGTTGAGAACCACTGCTATATATTATTATTATTATTGACTTTTCAACCTGTTTTGTTGAACTCGTAATTATAAGTTCAAGGCATTGCAAGTTGAACAAACTGAACTTCAGCAAAGCTCCAGCTCGAGTTGATCTGAATGTAAGCGGCTACTAGTTTCCCATGTTTGTGTCTTTACCATCACTGTTGTTCCCTGGCGCTCGTTATTCTTCTTCAAGGTGATTCAGTCATGAAGTATTGAGGTATATTTGCGGTCAGCAGCACAAGTGTGGACAGATGCTGGACTTGCGGCTGGAAGCTCGTTGCGTCGTGCCTGGTTAGGGCACGACATGAAATACTATTTCAAATGCCGTACAAACTTACAAAGTCACAGTCGCCTTGACAACAGATAGAAATGTTTTCTATTGTGTTTCTAAATGCTTTTTTTACAAACTCTTCTGGGATTGAACATTGACTGTGTCCGAGACAAACACTGTCTTTACCCTTTAACTGCTTTGCACATTTCATGTGTGTTTGAGTCTACACAGTGTCGTGTGTGTGTGTGTGAGTGAGTGAGTGTGTGAGTGTGAGTGTGTGCCAGGGGCATCCAATCTCTCTGACTGTTAAATATTTATTTATTGTTAAGTTATAACTTACATCCATGTGACGCTGTCCATCTCTGATTTTTGTTTTATTATTATAATTTTAAATTTTTTGTATATAGGCCTTCACTAAGAATGTAAATAACTTGTTACTGTACAGTGAAACCGTCTGTATTAAAACAAGGTCTGTGTAACTCTAAACTGCTGTCTTTTGTCACATATTTTAGTTGTTTTTTTTACTAAACAGAAGCAGAGTAATAAATTACATTAAACAGTGTCATTGTGCTGTACATATATATTTTTTGTACTTTTATTATTAGAAAGTGTATATAATAGTATATTAACTGTAATTTGCAGTAATTTTACATTGTACAGTGTCATTTTGCTGTATGTATATTTTTATGATATATTTTAAATTACTTTTATAATGGTCATTTAAAAGCAATTTAATATAAATAAATTACTTTGTATAGTGTCATACCATACATATATATTAATTTAATTTTTTTATAAAATAGATTAGTAATTAAAAAAAATTATAATAGTTTTAATAGCAATTTTTAATAACATATTACATTGAATAGTGTCATACCATACATATATTTTAATTTTATTAAAATTTATTTTAGTAATTTAAAATTTGTATTTATTACAATAATAATTTAATAGGAATTTAGTATACGTAATAAATTACTTTGTATAATTCTGTACATGTAATTTTATTTTAATTACAAAAATATTTTATAATAGTAATTTAAAATGATTTTATAATAGTAATTTAATAGCAATTTATTATTATATTATTATAAATAACATGGCGTACTGTCCAAACTATTTGATAGATTTTTTTATTAAAATATAGAATAGTAATTTTAAACAGTTTTTTTTATAATAGTAATGTAATAAATTACTTTGTATAATTCTGTAAATGTAATTTTATTTTAATTACAAAAATATTTTATAATAGTAATTTAAAATGATTTTATAATAGTAATTTAATAGCAATTTATTATTATATTATTATAAATAACATGGCGTACTGTCCAAACTATTTGATAGATTTTTTTATTAAAATATAGAATAGTAATTTTAAACAGTTTTTTTTATAATAGTAATTTAATAGAAATTTATTATAAATAATCAATTACAGTGTATAATATTGTCGTCATACTGTACATAAATCAAAAAAGGCTAATCAGGCACCCACTGTGGCAGCGCGCTTTTTAAATCTTCACATTTTAATGTAAACAAAATCCAAAAATTCATAGCACATGAAAGACGTAAATAAGTGCACATTGCAAATACATATATGCATAATACCATCATATACTACAGGCCCTATTAATAAACTTATCCTATACTCAGGGCCCTGGTTGAAAACGAACACTTAAAGGGATAGTTCACCCAAAAATGAAAATTAGCCCATGATTTACTCACCCTCAAGCCATCCTAGGCGT